ATGCAAGCAGACATGGTGTGCTTGTGACTAAGCCAAGTTTGCGCATAGCAACGCGCTGACCTTATTTTCTGCCATTTTACAATATATATATTTGCGCAGTTGTCATATGATTTAAAGGGATTAAAAAATATATTAAATATTAAGTCAAAAATAATAAATAATGGTAATAAAAAGTAATAAATAAGTAAATATTTATTATAAATAATTATTGTAAGTATATAATAAGTAAAAATATTATAAGTAATTATTTGTTATGTGTGACACTGAGTTTTACTGTCATAGCAAGCATATTGAAACAAAATCCGCTGAAAAATGGCAAAAAAAGGTCAAGTTCTGACTGGTTGCAGCAGATAAACATGTGCAAAAATATACTATGGTTCATATTCAGAATGCACTTTTATCGATAAAATGCGTTTTTATCTCTAAAATTCTATAATATGCGTAATTATATAATGTAGTAACGTGAATATAATACATAATATAATATAATATTGTAAATTATAGTATGTTAGTGCACTAACATCGTTGTAAGCGCATTCCGAACAGGTTCATGTCTACTTGCATCATATTAAGATGGAATCACATGATTTCTTGAATGATAAGCATGCATGCATGAAAGCATACATACATGATGCTATGCTTGGTTTGATGTATACAATCTGACGTTTGATAAATAACTATAAAATTAGCAATTATTTCTTTTGATTGGTGCATACAAAGAAATAATCTATGAAGTAGTCTATTGATAATAAATATAAAAATAGTGTATATACACAATGCAGCGCTCAATGCATGAACGAATTCTAGCATACATAAGAACAGGCCTGACTATATGTATGCTTATCATTCAAAAAATCGAGCATCATATGATTTCATCTTTATATATTAACAATTCATACATGAATATAGCAGGCCACTACGCAAAGTGTAAATTTTTTCACCTTACTAAAAACTGATGAGTGCAATATACATGAGTGCATATATAAATGAATCGTACGCGCATGTAGCAGGCTTACGTAAGGCGTATCTTCCGGGTAAACGATTGACATATAGTGATGTTACATGAAATAAAACATTTATATTACATTTACATTAATAAGTACCCAATAGTTAAAATTTGTATTTATTTTGTAATATGGTATTTGTTTTGGTAAAATATTCCTTGCGTAGGGGTCCACATTAAATATACAAATATGAACGTAGCTAACATCCATTCATATCGCAGGAAATGACAAATTTCTTAACTTAACAAAGGTTAACGACTAATACCTCGCTTTGTGATTCAGAACGACTATCAGATTCACTAGTTTTATGTAAAAATTCGCCGAATAAGCCTAGTTTCATGAAAATTGAAAGAATGGAGGGACTAAACTCAACATTTACCAATGTACTTTATATGTATATTGATTATACTTTGGGTTATTATTATATATATATATAGTATATTGATTACTTTGGGGTATTTAATATGTATAGGGTGCGTCACTAAAATCCAGATAAATTCCAGATTTCAATTTAAATTTTCCACTATATTGAGTCTCCGCCAGAGATTGTTGTTGGCGTCCGAGAAAGCCTGATGATTCTAATAAACAGTCATATTCTCAAAATGGCCGCGATGTTGAAACTAAGTGCGGAGTATAATCGAAGAGCCGCGATCATCAAAAGACTTCGTACTGAACGCTTAGCAACGGAAATAATTCAGTTCTTTGAATACCCAAGATCAACCGTTTATGACATTATGCAAAATATACGACTTTAGAACAGTCCAACGAAAGTTCCAGTATGCCAGCGAGGAAGAGTCACTTGAAAGAATGCACCGCGAGGACCCCCGCAGTCGTTGAAAGAGCTCAAGCGCTGATTTCGGATGACCCAGGGCAATCGTTGCGAAAATTAGCATCGATTGTTAATGTAAGCGAGTCAATAATACGTCGAATTATAAAGGAGGACCTTCGATATAAATCGTACACATTAAAGATATGACAGATGCTCTCTGAGGCCAAGCCGAGTTGCTCGCCTCGGCTCCTATTCTAGCCTCTCAACAGCCCAGATATAAATCCCTTGGACTACTACGTATAGAGCGTAGTTGAAAAGGTCACAAACAAGTCTTGGCATCCCAATGTCATTAAGGACCGCTATTGAGGCAGCATTCGTCGGCATGAACAGCTACATTACAGCGTGCGTGTGAACGCTTCAGACCGAGAATAGAGGCCGTCATTCAAGTTAATGGGGGATATATCGAATAATTATGTGTAACATTCCACGGATTTTAAAGAAATAATTCTAGAATATTATATGAAATGGACATTATCATCAACAGAATACTCATTTTTAGTAAAAGTGGATGTGGTTCGTATCTGTACTACATCCACAAGTAGAAGCGTGCCGACTACCCCTCCATGGTTGGTATTTATAGTCGATTTTTATTTTAAGACCTGAAGTAATGTCTTAAGCCGATAATTCAGCCCTCTGATTGATTTGTAACTTCTTAAAACTCTCTTTCTTAAGAAAAATGTAATAAAATGGCAAAGAATTTCACAGTTATCTCAGCAATGACTGTTTCGAAGAAGACAGCTGCTTTCATTTACTGCTTTTTATTTACAGAATGATAAAAAGAAAATCAGAAGAACCAACGACAATTTTGAGTATATCCAATATTTTCCGAAGAAAGGGGGCAAGGTTTATTTAATAAGAAAAATACAATATATTGATATGGAAAAATATATTGAATAGCTATTCGTATGGACTTATTAATATTTTATAAATTATTATTTCATCGAGCCGAAAATTGAAAAGCACCATGTGGTGGTATCTCCAATATCTACTTCTACGTCTGGAAATATGTTTACGCTATCTATATAGAAGACAATGTCATTAATTTCGTTTGCTTTTTGAGTAGGACTTAATACAATTTCGAAAATTATATTACTAAACTTATATTATTAAACTTGTGAGGTTATTTGGGATGCATTAAAAGACAAAGTTTTTTCTGAAATCACTGAAAATTTTTGGAGGGAAAAAGCCAACGAATTTGAAATACAATGGAGCTTTTCTAACTATTGGAATAATAAATGGAAGACATATGACAATAATGTATGTTTTTTTCCTAATATGGTTTAATTAATTTTTTCTTATCTTTTCATTGAATAATTTTTTATTAATAATAATAATAATTTTATTAATAATAAAAAAAATTAAAGTAATTTTGTTATGTTTTAGGCTCTACCCCACAGTAGTTCAACTTATTATAATTATAAGGATACTGTTTAATCTTCATTTAATCTGTGAAATAAAATGTACAAACTTATAATAACAATATGAATGGAGGATACAGGTTGCCAAAACAGGAATGTGTTAATTAATTCACATTCTATTGATATAGATAACAGTCACCGCCTTATCGAATGGAAGATTTAAATTTAAGACTTTTTGTGACGTTTAGACTAATATATAATAGCATGTAATTAGCGAATAGCATCCTCGATGATGTACTTGGAGGGAGGATTACTATTGTTATGTGTACAAAGAGTGAGTCGTATCCTCAATGATTTACTTGAAAGGAGGATTACTATACTTGATATGTATGTAATGAGCGATCAGTCTCCTCGATGATTTGCTTGAAGGGAGGATTACTATTGCTATGTGCTATCCGAAGTGCCACGAAGACCTTGAGTATGTCGAACATGTGCTCGTGAGGCACAGATCTCGGATACGCATGAGGTTACCTTATTGTCACATAATGATTGTATCATTCGACGCTGTATAATCTCTCATGAAAGGAAACAAAGCTTTTCAGATTGAAACGTTTTGCGTTCGCTACAGCACAATGTATAAAAACAAGCTAACAAAGCACAACAAAAAAAAACACAAAGGAGAACTAATGTACGCATGCAGACAGAAAACAAAGAAGAAAAGTGCTCGTAACGCCGGTCAGTTCGGCCCAGATACCGCCCTGTTACCAACTCCCTTCGAGCAGAGAAAAATTTTGAGCGGTAACTTTGAACAAGTATTGTACTCCTAGCAATTGCAGATGCGAATTACTGTTTTACAGCAATAGATATTGGAGCTAAAGGCAGACGAAGTGACGGAGGCATTTTTGTAGAAATCAAAATTGGACGTCCTCTTATCAGTAATACAATGAACTTGCCTCAGCCAAGATCGATTATAAAGAATGGTTCACAATTACCATTTGTTTTAGTGGGTGATGAAGCTTTTTTTTTAATACCGTTTATGATGCGATCTTATCCACGTGTCAACGATTTAAATTTACAACAGAAAGTAATCAATTATATCGACTTAGCCGAGCTCGTAGAATTGTGGAATGTGCTTTTGGTATTCTCATAGTACGTTGAAGAATTTTTCGACGACTCCTGTCAACAAATGTTGATAATGCAATTGCATTAGTGGAAGGAACAATTTGTTTGCATAATTTTTTGATGCAAAAAGATTTCGTAGTTTCCGCTGAAAAAAGACAATATATGTTATGTTTTTCAGAACATGTAAATGTATGTAGAAGTGCTTTCCAAGTATTACATTGTTCTGATAACACAGAAAGAAATAATGTAATTCAAAGTGCAATGGACATTCGAGATGAATTCACAGAATTTTTTTGTACTAGTGGAACCATAGAACAGCAATTAGGCAATTAGGGAGAAGGCATTAGAGAATGACATTAAAAATTTAAAAATTTATTTATTTCTATAAATTTCATTTATTTTAAATATATATTTAATATTTTAAATTTATATTTTAAATCTATATTTTAAATTTACATCATATTTTTTTATAAAAATTTAATAAAATATATGCATAACAGATATCCTCAATTATTCAACAGTCCTAGTTTTTCTTTCGTTTTATGTAATTTCATTTAAAAAAATTCCAACTTTAACTTAGACCTTTTTTAGGGTAATCGATGCATTCCTTCTGCTAATCGTAATATAAACCCATCAATAGTTGAATATTCGTGTTTAATGTATTTAAAAAAAATTATCTATTTTATCCATATTATTTAAACATCGTCTTTCTGAAACCACAAATAGTATATTAGATTACTAAATACTTATATTCTCATATTAATATATATGTATTTTAAATACAAACTTCATGAAGATGAAGACGATACAGAAAATTCAGAGACAGGTGATGGCATTAAAGGTGGCCTATTTTCTAAATCTGATTGTGAGTAATTATCATTAATAAATGAATTTGAAGGGGAAAGTGAAGAAATAGTTATTCGCTACTTGATCTGTTTCTTTTCTATTTGGTATCCTTAAAGTGCATGTTCTGAAACAGAAAAAAATATAAAATAAATTTAATTATTATTTTGAAATGTTATTTAACACATTCAATATATTATAACTTACTCTTTATATTGTAATGTATCATTTAAAAACTCATTGCATCGTAAAAGCAGAAGGATGGTTTATTCCTTTCGTTTATGGACGTATCGGCGGCACTATTTCTTTTTTCAGTACTTTGTATTTTCTTAAAATTTCTTCCAGCTTTTATATAGCAATATTTTCTTCAATATTGCCACCTTTTTTCTACATAAGCAGATAAATATGCTCCTAAAATATTAATAATTTTGAAAAAATATGCTTGTAAGGTAAATGTAAATTAAATCAGTTTATCTCCTAGACAATTGCTAACTTAGACAAAGGCTGACCTGTCATAGATCTTTTTTCTTTAGTTTAATTCTTTTTTGAGTTGGTATTCGATGCTCATACAAAGCCGGTCGTTGTTGAACTAAATTTATCAGCTCCTCATCTAATACTTGTGCTTCTGGAACATAATTTTCATCCACTGTTTGATCTTATGAGCTTTCACAAATTGATGTCGCCATCAAATTTTCTTGTAAACTTTTATCCAAACAATAAGGATGGAAACACATTATTGATTGTAACAAAATTTCATACTGTTTATATTGCGTAAAAATACTACATAAAAGTTTTTATACTTGTCATGACGACCTTTCCAGTCTCATCTATGATTAAAACATCGTGTTTCATTAAAAGTATCAAACAAGAATGTTAAAAAATAATATCCTTTTTCAATACCCATCCACAATAGCCACATTTTACTTTCTAATAATAAATAAATGATATGAAATACATAAATAAAAATAATTGAATTTCATGTAAATTAAAACTGTTATAAGAATATCCAACTAGCTTAGTTACCCAATGAGAACAGAAAGTCGAAATAATATAATATAAATTTGATCTTGTAGTGACATCTCTGAAAAATTAGAATTTTGAATTTGGCAATAACTATACGAATCTATTTTTATCTATTTCAATTCTTTGAGAATTGAAATAGACAGAAATAGATTCGTGTGGTCATTGCCGAATACATAATTTTGACTTTTTGGACTGGACTTATATTAACGAAAAAATGATATAGATTCGATCAATAATCAATCACAATGACGTCAAATTGACATAATATTGACTTTCTTGTTTTCTCTGGGTATCTGGCATATTGTACGTACATACATATGACGTTAAGTTAGAAATGTATGCAAGGCCATCATTAGAATCTAATATAAAATAACTTAGCACACATGTTGTAATTACAATACTTACAAATAACATTTTTCGCCTTTTCAATTCTCTTTATCTTTAATCGTTAATGATATAAGATAACTTAACACACATGTTGTAATTATAATACTTCCCAGCAAATGAGAATGGATTGAAATGGATTCAGATTTTCAGAAATACGGATTCATGAGTGTTAAAATGAATCCTTTTCAATTCTGAATGCATTTTTATTCATTTATAGGAATTGCATAAAGCAAATGTTTATGCCTTTTCAATTCTGAATGTATTTTTATTCATTTATAGAAATTGCATAGAGCATATCTCTATGCCTTTCAATTTAAAAATAATATTAGCATTTTCTGTACATCGAATATTTCTCAATTCAGAATTATGAATAAAAAGTACAGTTTTTAAAATTCAGTTAAATTCAAAAATAATATCAGCAATTTCTGTGCAACGTGAATACTACTCAATTTAATATTCTGAATATGAAATGCTGTTTTTCAATCTAATTGAATAAAAAAAAAATTTTTATTTAAAAATGCACCATAAACGCTACTCAAATTAAACGCTACAAAATTATAAGTAGGAAATTTTTTGTTTTAATCCAACTAAGTTAAAAAAAGTTGTAATGTAAAAATAATTGAGCTATGTTCTTTTGCTTCTCTTTGATTGGAAGTAAAATGAATGATCGATGTGACGCTCACAAACCAAGTCGAACACAGCCCGAATATTAGACTAATCACGGCGCGCGACATCGGCCAAACGAGATTAAATTATCCGATACTTATCCAATGTTGTCTTAATATAAATTATGTATATTTTATTATATCTGTTAAATTACTCGTATTATGATATTTTTATTATATCTATATAATTTTATGCACTGTTTAGCTGGTTGTAATTGAAATAGAGAATGAATAACACATTTACTATTTGAAGAAGTGGTGGTAGCCAGGAGAGGCAAGTGGTAACGTAGAAGACTCATAATCCAGAGGTCCCAGGTTCGAATTCCACTAAGGTGCGTTTTTTAATATCAATTTGAAGTAGTTAATTTTAGGTATAATTATTATAAATGTCTTAGGAATAAAATTTGTAACCCTTAAATATGAATGTTTTTTTTTTTTTCGAATATTGAATTAGTGTTAATTCGGATCCAATCCATTTCAATCCATTCAATCCATTTTCATGGATTTAAAGTACACATTAAAAAAATTTGAATTCATTTTAATTCTCGTTTGCTGGGTTACAGATAATTTTCCACCTTTTCTCTTTATACTTAATTTTCTTAATACTTAATTCTCTTTATACTTAATTCTCTTTATACTTAATCGCTAGTGATCGGTAGTTGTCAATAGTACGAATAATTTCCGTTTCTGAAAAATACACTCCATAGGGAGCTACTTAAAATCGAAACGGAACAATGCTGATTAGTTGCCCCTACCACTTCACTTTTCCGATTCCATATTTCGATTCCGTTTTCCGTGCCATGGGACAGCACCCATATATTCTATAGCCACTTAGCAAACGAGAATGGATAAAAATAGGTTAAAATTTTTTTAATGCGCACTTTAAATCCATGAAAATGAATTGAAATGGATTGGATCCGAGCTGAAATCAGTTTAATATTATAGGAAAAAAAACATTCATATTTAAGGGTCACAAATTTTATTCCAAAGACATTTATAATAATTATACCTGAAATTAACTATTTTAAATAGGTATTAAAAAACGCACCTTAGGGATTCGAATCCTAGCAAACGAGAATGGATTAAAATGGACTGAAATTTTTTTCTATCTGAATGCATATTTTAAATATATATATATAGCGAATACTTTTTTTTGGATTTAATTGGATTCAATTGGATTCAATTGGATTAGAAAACTGCATTTCCTACTCAAAATTTTGAATTGAACAGTATTCACAATGTGTGCGTTGTGCACAGAAAAACCTAATATTATTTTTAGATTGAAAGGCATAGAGATATGCTCCATGCAATTCCTAAATGAATAAAAATGCATTCAGGATTGATAAGCATTCATTTTAAAATTTGTGAATATGCTTTTCTGAAAATCTGAATCCATTTCAATTCATTTCAATCCATTCTCGTTAGCTGGGATCTAGGATCTTTAGAGTATGAATCTTCTATGTTATATCACTTCTTCAAATGGTAAACGTGTTATTCATTCTCTATTTTAATTACAACCAGCTAAACTAGTAACGAAATTATATAGATATAATAAAAATATCATCATTTAACAGATATAATAAACAATTTACATAACTATACTACTAAACAATATACATAACAATATTGAGTAAGTGTCGGATAATTTAATCTTTCTTGGCCGATGTCGCGCGCCATGATTAGCCTAATATTCGGGCTATGATACTTGGTTTGCAAGTTTTCACATCGATCATTCATTTTACTTCTAATCAAAGACATTAAAAAGAACACAGCTCAATTATTTTTACGTTACAATTTTTTTGAACTTAATTGGATTAAGACGAAAAATTTCTTACTTATAATTTTGAATAATAAGTAGCATTTATGGTCCATTTTTAAATAAAAAATTTGTTTATTTAATTAAATTGAAAAACTGCATTTCATATTCAGAATATTGAATTAAACAATATTCATGTTACACAGAAATTGCTGATATTATTTTTGAATTTAACTGAATTAAAAAAAACTGTACTTCCTATTCACAATTCTGAATTGAGTAGTATTCACGATGCACAGAAGATGCTTATATTATTTTCATAATAGATTGAAAAACATAGAGATATGCAATTTCTATAAATGAATAAAAATGTAATCAGGATTGAAAAGGCATAGACATTTGCTTTATACAATTCATATAAATAAATAAAAATGCATTTAAAATTGAAAAGGATTCATTTTAACATTCATGAATCCGTATTTCTGAAAATCTGAATTCATTTAATCCATTTCAATCCATTCTCGTTTGCAGGGCATATACGCTATTTTGTATGCATGACCAGATCCTATATATAAGAGATTCCATGATATGAGAATAATACATGAGTTTCCTGAATTTTTAGCATCAAATGGACTACATCCTGATTGTAACCGTTAAAGTTTCAATATATTGGAAACTTGTAGAGACTTAAAATATATTAATTTTTGTAAGTCGTAATTTAATTTTTTGTACTATTTGAAAGAATATGTATGTGTGTTGACATTTTATTAGTTAAGATTAAGTAAACATAATGTGCTCTGTATACATTAAAAATTGTCACATTTTAGGCTAAAAAGACAAATTTTAATGTATACAATGTATTTAACTAAATTAATTGGATGAAAATATAATTTCTAGCAAAAATGTCAAAAATATATTATTTTTTAATAAAAAGAAATCAAAATCATTATATATGCATAAATAAACAAAAAAAGAAAAATAATGTTATAATAGCTAGACATGATATGCATTCCATTTAAATATAATTATTTCAGAGAATTTAAACGGAATTTCTCTCAGAGAATTCGTAATTCTATTAAGTTCAAGAAACTGTTTTTTTTAGAAATTTATTAATATTATATATTTATTATCATTATTTATTATACATTCTTTTCTAGAAAGTCATATTATCCATGAAATTATTTCAAACAATTCAAATATCAAAATTCCTTATAAATTCCTGTTAATTATTATATTTAAAGTATTTTTTGAAAACTTTTAATTGGCTAATTTATGTATATAATCTATCTATACAGCTAACGAAAAAATTTTACAAAATAAAAATTATAAGATAGAATAAATACAGGTGATAAAAATAATGTCTATCTAGATATCGATTTACAAACAAAAGAGAGAAATGATATTATACATGAAATTCAGAAAGAACAATTGAAATTATATGTTAATAAACAGAATGAATTGATAGATAAATATATCAAAATTATACAACTAAATTTAATTATAAATGCACAATAATATTTGTATTATGTTGTTTATTAATTTAATAATGATTGGAATTAAAGATAGTAAAATGGCAGATGTAATGATAGAAAAATATATTTTAAATAATTATCAAAAAGCAAAAAGAATATTAATAATTTCATCGTATAGAAAAAATTAAGTATATATAAAAATAAATGTTTGACTTGCATTTTGACAATTTTATCGACAATTGGTTATTTTTTAAATTTTCAAGTATATTGAATTTTATTTCAACGTTTATTTGTGAATTTTTTTAAATAATTGTTTGCTGCGTTTAATCATGCGTTTTATACAAACTTGTCAGATGAAAATTTTGAGAAAATGTATATGTAATGAAAACAAAAATAAAATTGAAATTATGTAAAGTGCAGAAATTTGCAGGTAATATATTTTAGAAATTTCCTTAATATTATGTAGTAAAGAAGTAAGGCTTGTTT